AATCAACCATCATAGGGAAGATGATGAACATATAGAGAAAGATATTGGGAATGTTTGGTTATGTTTCTAATGAGATTTTCTAGTTTCCAATATTTCTGATGAAAAAAATAGATGTATTGGTTTTTTTGTGGAAAATGAGAATATGTTTGGATGAAGTAAATTTTTAGTTTTATATAGGTATGGAAAATGAGAATATGTTTGGTTGTGTGTTTTCTGTTATCTTCCAAAGAATCCGCAGTTCCTTAATTATCTCTCTAACGATGAATTTTATAAGAGACGGAAGATTGCGTTTCTTTGGGGACCACGTCCCTTTATATAATTGTAGAGCACAGTTATATTACAACTGTGATTCAACTCCATCAATAAATCACTATTAAGCCCCCCTTATTGTCTATACACATTAGGCCCATAATTATGGTTTAATACCCATAAGTCCAACCGAAATAATCTTTATTAGATCACAATTAATTTGGATTTTCTTCTAGATAGCCATACACATTTAAGTCACATATGTGAGCCCACATAATTATTAAAATAATTCCAACAATCTCCCACTTGGGCCACATACAAATATACCTTATAAATGTGCACACCTTATGAGCTCAAATATTACTATCATATAAAAAGGTATTCCTTACAATCTCGTCCATTTGACCATACTAATATAGGACTACAGAGGCTTTCGTCATATTGACCATGTCTAAACCCAACAGTAATCACGTATACCAATATAGCCAAACGACATAGATCAAATCATGGTGTATAGCATGGAAATTACATATAATGTGATCTTAACATGCCTATTTCCAACTGGTCCTATTTTAAACTTTATTGAGACCAAACCTTAACATAATTGTACAAAGCGTAACCAAATATTTTATTTTTGCAGAAAACTAAATACACAAATTTGTGTTCAAACATATCATAGAGCTACCAAAATGTGTTTATATGTACACATACATACAAACTCCCATTTAACCAAAATATCCTTAAATGATATAACACCTACATGAGCAATGCTCATGAATACCTTATGTGTTAATTCTTAAGTATGCGGATCCGCAATCGTGGAGTTTATCTTAATATGCTCTATGTACTGTTCACTTTATACCTTTAACAACAAAGAACTTTCACAAGCTCTTGTTGTTCGAAAATATAGTTGTTGAATATTGTTACCATATAACTTTAATACAAATCAAAATGTCTAGCCTCGTGACAAAAATTTATAACTATATTGCAAAAGAAGATGCCAAAAATTACCAAAAGTTCTTAACCATCGTGAAAAGAGCTTGAATTGTTTGCTTAACACCCATGTCGAAATAGCTCAATCACTTAGGTCTACATTAACCAAAATGGATCTATACATTATACACATCATGAAATTCAAAATTAGAAATAAATCACACAATCTCCCAAAATATTTGAATTTGATAAATGAACATATATATATAACTTACATTCCCTATAATTTTATTGCAAAGTTTATTAAAATCATATATATTCCAGGTAATTAGACAATTAATTAATTAAATATAATTTGTTGGCAATAGCTTTTGTTAGAATTTATTTCGTGCAGATATAAATTATTTGTGTCAGATTCAATTTTTCGTTACTGTTGCGTGAAGTGTTGCAACAGTTCGTGAAGCAGTTCGTAAAAACAGAAATAAACGAGACACAAATTTTAATGTGGTTCAGATACAATTGTACCCTACATCCACGGGGACCTGCAAATAAAATTTACTAATTTTTAGTTTTACGAATACAATAATAGGACTTAATCAAAATACAAAGACTCCCTCTTTGTTGACGCCGTTCTCGTATACTACGCTGAATTATAAATCTTCAATTTGCAGCACGTCCCTTGCTCCGCACGGTTGAACTCCCTTCAACGCTGAATCCCTCAGTCGGCGGATCGATCTCCTCCCGAGATCTGTTTAAGCCCCTCTCCCGAAGAACCGATCTTCTTTTTGTATAGAAGAAGCAAACTTGTGATACACGTTGAATCTTGGTGTCTTCACCACAAAGCCTTGAAGCCGATATATTTTCTATGAAAATCACGTATCACGATGGAACAATAAAAAAACGAGAGGAAAAATATTTTCTGTGAAAAACTTCTCTCGATCAAAGACGTTCCGGGAGCAGCAAAGAAAAGAGAAATCTTTTTCTCTCAAAATAAAGGCACCACAACACTAACGTGTATTTGCTCCACTTTTATAAGCCTGATAAAGAATCCTACAAGAGTCCAATACAAAATACGTATCAGCCATATTAGGATATAAATCTTATCAAAAGATATTAACTCCTATTCAAACACTAATTCCCAAATAAA